TGTTATCTATGTGATACTAATCAGATAGGAGATGAATATCAATGTATTTTAGAATGTAATGCTTTAAAACATTTGCAAATTCTTGAACCAAACATTTTGGTTGTAAGCCAAATACTATGAAATTTTGTGAAATGTGCTCAAGAGATGTCAAAATTTAAAAAGAAATGGTACATTTATTATTGAAAGGAATTTTTTTTTTGTTCTTCTTCTAGCTAGACTTGAATCCCCTATTACTTGAACCCTAGTATTGTATTATAATATGTATATATGTTCTTGTACCTCATGTACCATTTACATAAATGTAGCTTGGTTTTGAATGAATAAACTATACTGAAATGAACTGATTTAAAACATATATTTTATACAGGTTACTATGGCTTGTGAAACGTTGCTATATTCGGTAATATTGTGATGTATGTTCAATATCTTGTGATGTGTGTACGATAATTTTGTGATGAATATTCAATATCTGGTGTTCATTATATTGTGATGTTTATCGAATATATACATCACAAGATATTGAACATACATAACAAGATACTGAATATACATGTATATCACAAAATAATGAAATTATAATCACAAGAAATTAAACACATACATCACATAACATGATTATTTAATATAGCAACATTTTACATATAGGTAAATCACCATATACATGTAGGTCACCATATAGGTGACTTGAGTCACTCAGGTGACTTATTGCTATCTGTTTTCGTCCGTCGTCGTCCGTCGTGCGTCGTCCGTAAACTTTTGAACATTTTTAGCTTCTTCTCTGGAACCATTGAACCAATTTCAACTAATTTTTTGCATATAGCATCTAGGGTGAAGGGGAGTAAAAATTGTGAAATTCATTTTCCCTGTCCCCCTAGGGCCTGTGGAGTGGGGCTAAAACCATCAAAATTAATGCAATCTGTAAAAATCTTCTTCTTTACTCCTGGACATCAAACAGTCACACTGTTGGCATGATTGTAATAAGCATTGAGCCCTCTTCAAAAATTGTGAAATTTATGTCCCCAGAGTCAGAGGTTCTGGCGGGGCTCTAATGATTATATAATGAAAATACATTAATTTTTTAAAAATCTCCTCCTCTGCTCCTTGGTATTTAGCCGAAGAACTAAGTACATAGTTTTAATGAGGAAGAGTGCCTCTTCCAAAATTGTAAATTTTATGGCCCCTGGGTCAGGGGTGTGGTGTTAGGGCGGGGCTGTAATGATTATATGATGAAAATGCATTAATTCTTTGAATATCTTCTCCTATGCTCCTGGGTATTAATCTGATGAATTAAGTACAATGCTATGATGAGGAAGAGTGCCTCTTTTAAAAATTGTGAATTTCATAGCCCCTGGGTCAGGGGTTGTTGTGTTAGGACGGGGCTCTAATGATTATATAGTGAAAATGCATTAATTCTTTGAAATATTTTCTCCTCTGCTCCTGGGTATTAAGCATATGGACTAGGTACATAATTATGATGAGGAAGAGCGCCTCTTTCAAAATTGTGAATTTCATGGCCCATCGGTTAGGGGTTCCGTGGGGGGGGGGGGGGGTATTCATTATGACCTGTAAATAAATTAATGCTTTGAAAATCTTCTCCTCTGCCCCTTGGTACTGAGCAAACAATCTTAAAACAGAACAAACTAAATACAGAGTTATTATGAGAAAGGATGCCTCTTCCGAAATTGTGAATTTCATGACCCCTGGATCAGGGGTTCTTGTGCTTGGGTGGGGCTCTATTGATTAATTAGCAAAAATTCATTAATGCTTTGAAAATTCTCTCCTCTACCCCTGAGTACAAAGCAATTAAACTAAATGCAATAATATCAATGTTAATGTATTAAATATAATTATAAGTAAATGGGTCTTTTCTTTGCTCCTGGGTATCTAGGATGCAAACAGAGTACACAACTGTAATAAGTGAAGCAAAAATCCCTTTGCTAGATGTTGTTAATCAAGAAATTCTTGTATATAATTTAATTAACAGATTATTTGATTGAATGAGAATACAAGAAAGAATGTTATATATATATTGAAACAAAATAAAAATGAATGTTTGGTTTAAATGAGCAAAGCATGCTCAAAATCAGATTCTTGCTTGGAAACCAATATAAAAGATTGACATAAAGATTATTTAGCATGTTTACACTGTGGTTATCTGTTTGACATTAGATGAGGTATACTGGTAGACTCATGGTTGACAAGAGACTGGATAAAGTTGTTTTATACTTTATTAATGTGAACAAAGAATCACAGAGAGCCAGGGTGACTTATTGTAATTAGTGACAAGTGGCGAATTGCCACATTGTATACCTAAGTCTGTGTGTACTGAATTGTAGCACTAGGCAAGTGACAAAAACATATCTGTATATATTGAATACCTTACACAATAGGCAAGTGTCCATTGTATTTGTATACATGTATTTTGCATACATGACCATCCCTGTAAGACTTGGGAAAACCAAGTACATGTATGATCCTAAGGAGATCACTTGGGTCTAGCACGTTACAATAAGAAAGGGTATTTTAATTTACCAGACTTTTGAAAGTCTTTGGCAACATTGCTCCGTCTATCAGTTAATTTTGTTTTATACTTCTATGGATTCTTTACTGTGTTGTATTATACTCAGGTGACCGTTAAGACCATTTGGCCTCTTGTTTTTTTGGGTTTTGTTTGTTTGTTTGTTTTTTTTAAAGTTGCCCCCCCCCCCTCTTTTGAAACCGTTGCTACGGGCCTGTTTTTGCATTCGCTTCGAAGGTAAGTTGAGCTCTTTTTCTCGTTTTTTTAATTGAAAAAGCATATTAAATTGGGGGAAATGAAAAATGCAGTTGATAGAGTAGGTAGTTAACATTTTGTATTACATTACTTTATGCCCTTGAGCTAAGGATTGTTCGTAATATCGTGCCTCATGTGTAACGAAGAAATGGGAGAATTAGATGTTATTTAAACAATTCATCATTAATCCTATAGTTAGGTGTATACGTCATTAATACAAATGATTTATTATATACTTATTCAGAATTATTGATTTGCAAAAATATATGTCTTTACTCCTCACAAAAATATTAACTGATGTAAGGGATAACTTCAGACGCACTGTGCTACAGCAAATTCTAGAAGCGGTACATGTATAAATCAAATGTGGATTCTCAAAAAAAAAAAAAAAAAAAAAAAAAAAAAAAAAAAAAAAAAACTCCAAAGAATTTTTTTAGAAAATTTCAAATCATTAAATTTTTCGAAATTCAGTAGCATCAAAACGTATGGTTTTTCTACACTTACATAGCCACAAATTAAATACTCGGCTTTTTGATATCATAGACAACGGTTTCTCAATAAAAACGGAAGTCGAAAGGTTTCATATCTCGTTATTGGTCATCTAGAAAATTACTTCGTAAAAAATCACCCTGATTCTACACATAAGTACTCTGAGGTTAATATTAAAAAGATGCTTGTGTTCCTCACTGACTACATCTATGTACTTGTCTTTGGAGACTATGTCTTCCAATGATCTGTTGGAATATCGATGGGCAATAATTGTGCTCATTTATAAGCAGATCTGTTTTTAATATTCCTATAAGGCAGAATGTATTCAAAAACTTCTACATGAAAAGAAGAAATCACTTGCTGTGGCCTTTAACTCGAGATTCAGATATATTGACGATGTTTAACTTATTAACAATAGTTACCTTCATTCATATGTCGACTCGATATCCAGTGAACTTGAATTAAATAAAAGATACTACAGAGTCTGTCACATCTGTTTCATATTTGGTTGTTTGACGATAACGGCAACTAACAACTAAATTGTTTGACAAACGAGATGACTTGGAACAGCTTTTCCATCGTCAACTTGCCTTATTAGTCCCCTACCGGTGAAACCGGAGGGGACTATAGGTTTCCTCTGAGTCTGTCCGTCCGTCTGTCCATCCGTCTGTCTGTCTGTCTGTCTGTCTGTCTGTCCCTCTGTCTGTCTGTCAGTCTGTCCCACTTGGTTTTCCGCACTTTTTTCCTAAACGCTTGCAGATATTGAGCTGATTTTTGGTATGTGAGTGTATCTTGATGAGTTACAGATCAAGTTTGCATTTCGTTCTGCTTCATTGATTTTTGACGGAATTACGGCCTTTTCAATTTTTACGGGTTTTCCACAATTTTCTTCTAAACGCTTGTAGATATTGAGCTGATTTTTGGTATGTGGCTTTACCTTGATTAGTTATAGATCAAGTTTGCATTTCGTCCCGCTTCATTAATTTTTGACGGAAATATGGCATTTTCAATTCTTAACGGGAACCAGATTACACTTGCCGGTAGGGGACTAGTATTGCTAATGCAATACTCTCAGAATGCTTGTTTATGTAGTAATATTCCAATATCATCTGCATATGGTGTTTATGCCTCCCTACTTCGATACTCAAGATTATATGCTCTGAGTACGATCAATTTTTTAACCGAATCAGGCTACAGACAGATAAGTTGATGTTAGTGACTACTTGGATTTCAACAGCCTCATTTAAAGAGAGCGTTTTGTAAATTCTATGTCGTAATAATGACATTGTTAGCAAATACATCCTATCATTGATAGAGTCGTATTTTGATATATTTCATTCCAATCGTTAAATGTTTGTTTTTATACTAAATATAAATCAATATATAGGGCTCACGACAGGGAATGCTTACTTCTCCTAGGCGATCCCATCTCTGGAATTTCCAGGAGTCAAACGGATGAAATTACAATCAAGGTAAAGATATGACCATAATAATACCCCTCTCCTATTTTTCAGACTGTATAAATACTGAATTTTATTTCGAGATATTTGAAAGTATACATGATTGTATTTGTTCTGCATCAACAAAGATGGCCCAAGTTGGTCAATCAACATTATAGAGTGAAAATTAGATCAAGTTATAAAATCAACACGTTCGCCTCTCTTTCGTTGAACCCTTGGAGATAGAGAATGTAATTAACATCGGGTTCAATATTCCGGGTTGTTGACAAATGGAGGACAGCTATGACTGGAGCGACGAAAGTAGAGTTGAAACCTAGGAAGAATAGAGCTGTACCTGAACGCACTGGTCATGTTTCAGTTTTGGCAGATAAATACATGATAGTGTGGGGAGGATATAACGTAAGTGAAATTTAGGAAATTAATCAAATCAATTAATCAAACAGGACTATCGAACTAGGAAAGAGGGCTACATAAACAGGATAGCATCCGAGTTGGAACTCCCTACACTGGTAAAAAGAAGAAGAAGTCTCCGCTTGGTATTGCTATATAAGGTGGTTGAGGGGTTGGTACCGGCGCTACCTCCCTCTGATTTCATAACACCCTCCAAACAAAAACGTAATATGTTGACGATGTGACCGTTAGGGCGAGCGCAGATACTTTTATAAACTGTAATTAGACCCATCTCTTCAAACCGCACGTGACATATTGTACGTCTAGACTCTGACGTCACAGGACGTCGTATGTAAGTTGCATTACCAAACCAAAGCCTGACCGCTAGCATGTTTTAATGAGGAACGTTTTATATACTATTTATCTGCAATATATCCATTAAATCAAGACCAGTTTATTTTTTGTTGAACTTTTGTTGTCATTCTCGCAAGAACGTAGCTTAAACAAGCGATGCATTGTGGGTCCAAAGTTACTGCGGAAAAAAATTCTATTGAATGAATGTGGAGTAGTCCGAATTTTCTCTTCGCCCAGGCGTTGTCGTTAGAGCTCGCAGTGACGAGTGGCGCTTTGCGCCGCTTGCTGCGCTCGCTATAATAAAACCAAGGAACTTTGGAAATTGCATCTCAGATAATATGATAACAAAACAAGTGAAAAACAACTCCAGAAGCTTTAAAGTAACACCAACTGAAACAAAGCAATACGAACACTCATTTTTCATAGACACAGTGATTATAAGGAACCAACTTGACGAAGACACAGTGCGCGCAAAATCTGAGGCCTTCAAGACTGCCCTCAACAAGATTTGTCAATAACATCGACAGTGCCTCTCTCCCATCGTATAAAAGCCAGTATTTGTTACCACGATGTACCATATACAGATACAGAAGTGTTTTCACTGTTACCAACATCTTTTCACGTCATTACCAGCTGATTACTATAATTGATAATTGATGATATTGCTACATACACCATATTATATTGTTAATCCATGTTGCTTTTTATGCCAAGGTGCTATGAGTATGTTCATGAAATTTTATATAATCCCATCCTACCGTCCTAACTCTCTTTAACCATTCTTTAATCATTTGTGTTCTGTAGGATGATTTTGATCCGTATCATCTAGCATATCTTCCACCGAGTGAACTGTGGATCTATGATACAGAATTTCAAGTATGGTATGATTTACTTTTTTTCATGGTGTATACGAAGCAGTTATGTATAGTCTAGTTTTGTTTTTGTGAATAAATGTTTACTTATACTGTATATATATATATGTATATGCTGTGTAATAATAATGTTTTTAAGATGTGCTTATAAGTATTTTACATTATATACTCTGAACAGGTTTTTAAGCAAAAGTAGAGATGTTCACCCTATAGCTGCCTCTGGATGTTCTGCTTGTGCCCAGGATGACTCTATGTATGTTTTTGGAGGACATGCAAGCCATGGTTACCTCAATACTCTATATAAACTTAACCTAAATACCTTACAATGGGAGGGTGTATTTCCTGTTTCCACTAGTCCTTCACCAAGCCCACGGGACAAAGCAGTGTCATGGTTCTATGAGAAAAAGTAAGTTTGTACAATGTTTATATGGATGAAATATAGAAATAACTAATAGTAATCAAGCTCAAAAGTCCATTGCAACAACAGAAATTGGGAGCAGAGCATACACATACCTCTATAAACATCAGAGGTGGGATCAGGTGCCATGGAGGTGTAAGCATCCCCTGTTGACTGGTCATACCCACTATGTGCTCCTTGTCATGATTGCTCAAATGGAAAAATCCGTAGACAATTCAGTGTGCAAAATAATGGCCAAATAATTAGTAAGAAAAATGTCAGTAGGCATTCAACTTGATGATAGATTGTATTTGCTGACAAGATCATTGTATTGACAATAGAACTTGTGAAATGTTGACCTTAAACAAGACTGTTGATATCCTTGTTTCATAAACTTGTTTTTCCTCATTTTAGAAATTGTTCATATGTAGAGCATGCTCTTCCGTATTGAATCAACTGGGAGACATAAACTCCATATGCAGGTGATAAGAGTATATTGCTACAGAAATAAGAGAAGTTGATGATAAAATAGTTGAAGTCATCATGTTTATCATAAAGTTTTGTAAGGTTACCATTAACATCTCTTTTAAGTAAAATATCCAAAATATGAAATAGATGTGTCAGACTCTGCGGTATCTTATTTCGTATGGAGTCAACATATGAATAGAAGTAACTACATGTATTGTTAATTGATATTATGTCGTCAATCTATCTAAGTGTCAAGTTGAAGGCCACAGCAAGTGTTTTCTTCCTCTCATGTATATGTTTTTGAACAAATTCTGCTTCACATGAATACAGAAATAGGTCTTCTAATAATGGGGTGCATTTGGGGGGAATTCTGACAGATTGTTGGAGGACTTGATCTCGAAAAACTAGAAAGATATTGTCAATCAGAAACTCAAGCATCTTTTTAATTTCAACTTATATCCATATATTTATTGTAGCATTTTCATAGTTGGAATTTATTATAGTTAATAATTCAGTAAGTGACTTTGATTTCTCTTTCCAACCCATCCACCAACCAAAATCATAGATATGTACAGGGATTAATTCAGAATAATTGTTTTTTTTTACATCTTCTTGTATTGTTTATGGCCTGGCAGACAGATGTCTCATTGGTTTATGGTGATGAATCTTGGTTGCATAACTCTACTGAGTTCACAAGTAAAGATCAAATCATATGAAAGAGATAACTATTGTTTTTCAAGGTTAGAGGTAAAAAATCTTAGGTACTGTGATGTATGGAGGAAAAGTTAATTTTTGGATACCGTAATATCTGAACTTTGCATGGATCTGTTGGTGTGTGTTTCTTATTTATTGAGTGCTTAGGTCTTAGGGATGTTCCCTATTGGTTTTCAAAGCTATATCCAGAAAAAACCATGGTTACAATTGCAGATTGAAAATAGTTTCTGTACATGAATATGAAAATACAATTACATGAAATGGATAACATAAAAAATAATCTGAAAATAGTATAATATGAAATCAGTTCTTATGAAATTCATATTAATATGAAGATAAAAAAAATTGAAGGTCATTTGTCAAGATCATCTTTCATTTTGACAGGTTTTTTATTACCATTAATTATTAATGAACATGAGACAATATGACTCATTTGGTACATCTATACATACAGTTTCCTTTTTTTGGTCATAGATGCTATTATTTTAGGTTATTAAATAGTTCATTTTACTATTTATTTACATACTATTTAGAGAATTAATGAACATCATCCAACCAAAGAAAAAGGCCAGGTCTCATTTTTTGTTTATTACAATTATCTAGTCCATTGCAAAAAAGGTAATCTGTTAAGTTTTAGGAATGAAGATTTGGTACTCTTGATTTAAAGGCTTACTGTAATTTTTACTTCAGAATTATCACAATGATTATTACCATATATACTCACCTATAAGTTGATCCACCTATAAGTCAGTTGTATTTGTTAAGCTTACATTAGAGGGACTAACCCACTAAAATACCAATCATTTTATATCTGGCGTATAAGTCAGATAAAGAGTTTTGGACCAAAGTTTAACTCCAAAAAAAATGACTTGTGGGCGAGTATATACGGTATATACTAAATGTACTTCATGAATGTGATATTTGCATGGTCATTCTATAAACAAAGGTATATGTAATAAATTTTGCTACATTTTCATTTCAATTTCCTTTCTCATTTTTCCAGGTTTTATACTTTTGGTGGATACGGAATAATTGATTACTCCAGAGACAGTATGTATTTGGAAGAATGCAGGTCATTTTTCCAAGATGAAACATCTGAACATGTATGTACACATTTAAAACTGTACATTACCTTCTATGATTAACTTTAAATTGATTGTAAAGCTTAGCGTACTTAATTAGATATGTAAATAATCTTCAAAACAATTATAGTCAAAAACATCTGCCATATATTTTGCAATTCATATTTAGTAGTTGAGTTTTGAGAATAAATAGGTGCTTTTACAAATACATGTCCAAGGATTTGAGAAAATAATTCCTATTTAATATATGATTTATTTCCCCCTTGTATAGAGAGGTTGGAACAATCAATTGTGCACATTTGACTTTAACACAATGAAATGGAGTCTAGCAGAGCACAAGGTATAAATTATAATATGTATCTGATTTTTTTTTCCAAGTATGTGCTCTATTTTCTTCATCTTAATTCATAAACGGTACATGTAAATGTAATGTTATATAATTTAATGACTAAAGCTTAATTTGAAATGAACATCATATTTCTTCGTTGACTTTAATGGAAAAAAAAAATCTCAAATTTTCATGACAGGGACAAAAGCCCTCTGCAAGGGCAGCCTCTTCTGCTGTAAGGTTTGGCAGTAAGGTATTTATTTTTGGTGGAAGACATCGGAATCTGCGACTGAATGACTTACACTGTCTGGATCTGGATACAACAACCTGGAGTGGCTGGTAAGATAAGCTATGTATATATATGAATATGAATTCAAATGCAATTGTTTTGTAAAATGCATTTTGATTGGTTAATGCACTGATGTTTGAGCAGTAAAACAGCATTAACGAGTGAAAGCTTTTAATTGTGACATCATAATAGAGGGACACAAAAACACAATTCTTCTTGAAGTATTACATAGAACTAAATTCAAAAAATAAGATGTAACATCAAACAAAATGCATCAATTGCATTAGAAAAGGAAGAAATATCTTCTCATCTGGTATTTGTGATCATTAATGCTGATTTAAGGACCCTCTATACACTGATGAAAAATGTTTTTTGGACTTTGAGAAAATTATATGGCATAAATGAGGATATTTTGAAATTAACTAATTCATTTTTAATATAGGGAGCATGCCTTTTTTATCCAGGAAAAATCTTCAAAGATAATGAAGTAATTATAAATAAAATTCGCTTTTGCTTACTCAAATGGAGAAAATACATGCAAATAAAGTTTTCAACTACTCTATCTTGGTCTAATATAATGTTTAGAATACTTGGATTTATTTTAAATTATGCCATACAGTGCAGATTACAATTTATTCTATTTCTATATCAAATGATGGGTCAGTCTAACTACACAAAAGTACGCTGAAATTAGGGTGGAGTGTAGAGAGGGTCCTTAATGTCTCAAACATCTGTTTTACCGGCTCCGCTTATGCTTCATCGGTAAAACTCGGTTGTGAACATTAAATCAGCATTAACAGTCGCTAATAACAAATGAGAAGATAGTTTTTCCCTATAATTACACTGTTTGGATCTGGATACAGTAACCTGGAGTGGCTGGTTAGATAATCCATGTACATGAACATATATAAAATATAAACTGGAGTAGCAGATAAAATAATCTTTGCACATGTGTCTGAGTACAGCAACCTGGAGTGACTAGTAATTTACAATGTATATACATATTGATATATGATTATGCCATACACTGTTTAGATCTGATACAGCAACCTGGAGTGGCTGGTTAGATAATCCATGTACATATATGAATATATAACCTGGAGTGGTATTGTATATTAGACAATCATTATTATTAACATAGACAAAAACTGACATCTTAAATGTTAAAGGGGCTGGTACACAGATTTGAAGCTCATATTTTTAAATAATATCATGATTTATATGCTGCTAGAGTATTTCACATTGAAGCCTGTTTAGAAAATTCTTTTATCTGAAAATTATTAAAACTACGATTTTCGGGACGCATTTGATTGACATATCCTTGCATTTTCACGGAGTAAACTTTATCCAGAAAGCTTAAGAAAAGTAGAAATTTTGTTGTGTATATATGAAAATATTAAAACTATAGGCCAGAGAGTTGAGAGTAGAAATGTGAAAAGGCAAAACCAACTCACCCACATTGTCAGTCTGTGCTCAGTGATGTGTGCAGACTAAACAGATTGAAAACATCCAGTAAAACATAAGCACTAACAATAACAGAGCTCGTGCACTGTTTACAAACACAGGTGTGTAACATAATGTTATGAAGAATTTTGTTGTCTTTGAATTGTTAGAATATTCGTATAAGTTTAAATCATTAAACTGAAGTTATTATTTTTTTTTTTTAATAAAAATAGGCATTTAAAATTGTAAACAATGCAACTGTGTCCAGGCCCCTTTAACAATTTGATGGATATCATAAGTTGCTCATTTTTTGAGGTTTAAAAAATGATATATTATTGAATAATTTCTTATTGAATTCAAGAATAGAGATACATGTATATCGTAATTCAACTAAATTTAGTTCTAGGTCTGTTGAAGTTAAAACATACATGTACAACTGTGCAACAGTTGACCTGGCAGGAATGATAACTCTTGGTAGAATTTAGTCTTTACAGGAAATCAACAAAGTTGGTGAAATATATGTATAATAATGATACTGAACATAAAAGTTTCTCATTTGATAAGTATTATATATGTAGTACAATAAAACATGTAAAGTTTCCAAAATCTTTTCATGATTATCTTAATTTTCATCAGCACAGTTGAACTTTTAGAATTCCCTAAATAATAGTTTTGCCTCATTTGGACTTTTGAGATATTTTTACATGACCAGTATGGCCAACTTGCTGCAAAATAAACAAGACCGGACCAACATTTTACTAGTCTGAGTTGGTTGGATGTTCATTAATGTTGAGCCCTGTGAAGATAGCATAAAAAACAGATCTAAACAGTTTAGAGCTAACTGATTGATTAATAAAAGTCAGTTTATATAAGAAATAAAGGAGAAAATATTCAGTGGATGAAAATATATTGCTGTATTTCAGTCTATGTGTGAGCAGTGAACAGCCTGAGGGGAGATCTTGGCATTCTGCCGATGCATTGTCTAGTACTCAGATGTTTGTATACGGAGGCTTCAACACCAACTGCATACCTCTCAGTATGTATAAGATTTTCTTAGGTTAAGAAGTATTAAACAGAAAGTGATCAATAAGACTTAATTGACTTATCTTTTGTGTATTTAATTTGTTATCTAAGATATCATAAGCTTATTTGTTGTGAAAAGAAATCAACCAGAAGAGTGAATATTTGAAAAACTTTAAATTAAAGAGCTCAGATCTTTGATGAACTGAGTAAATTAAAACTTAATCAAAAATAGAAGATTTGAGGGAAGATGCACACATTTATGTTTGTCATTGTTGTAAAGAGTTTTTGATGAAAGCTATATTTTTAGGTGATGCTTGGATACTAGACATAACATCACTACAATGGACACATCTTTCACAGTTTCCAACCAATCAGCCACGACTTTGGCACACTGCATGTGTTACACAGGACAAGGAAGTGATTGTCTTTGGGGGATGTGGAAATAATATTCTAGATGATGAGGAAGAGAGTCAAGTGGTGCTTATCTCAAGTTTTATAATCAAAAGTTAAATGACCAAATTCAAACAAATTAGAGCAGTTGATTAAGTACATATAAAGCACTTCAGCAGACAGTATATATATTTAAAAAATTCGCAAACTGCATTAAGTCTCTTTAAATCACATTTCAAGAAAATGTATACACTTCTATAATGAACATTTAAGGAAATTAAAAAAGGATTGATTTGTAAAATATTAAGAATGTCAATTCTTTCTGTGTAGGTTTAATTTTGAAGCACATTTTAAATGGTTAACTCTATGTACTGATTATTACAAAATTTTCATAAGACACTGAAGAAGACAATTGACTTAAATTTTCTTTTATCTGAGTGTTTAGGTGGATATGTTAACATTTAAATGACTACATGTATTTGTTTTTAGGACCACAGAAATGATATTCTGTATTTCCAGCTGTATCCTTGTACACTTAAAAGGTAAATAAAAACAAAAAATACTTTTTTTACTTTTCAGTATCAATGTATTGTTATGTTTTAATTCCATTCAAAAGTATTACTTTTTGTACCATGTGTTATTTTGTAGAATTTGTTTGGACTATGTGTACAGACATCGCACTCGTCTAGGAAGTGAGTGGAACACATTACCACGGCAGTTCTCTGATTGGTTACGGAGGAAAGAGGACCTTGACATTCATATATTAATGTCCTCTGACTCGAGTTCAGAATCAGACTCGGACAATGATTACACTAACCAATCAGGACAAACCTGTGCTGTGTCGTAGTCTACAAAGCTCTGTATCAGGATGTAACTTAGATATCAGATGGCAGATGATAAACAAACCAATTGTGATAAATGCCTGATTTGTAAAAAGATTCCAATAGCTAAGGCTTTAGGACTTATGATGAATCTGGAATAAGAAGCAGTTAATTAAATTGTTTTCTTAAGATATCTCTTCATTGATGCATAATATTCAGTCAAAATTGTGAGAATGTTTGTTCACTTAATTTAATTTATTTAATTTTATATGTATTTAATAAATAGTCTCAATGGTTTTATTAGATTTGATCGTAACATTAAGCATTGGTATATATATATTTTTTTATTAATTGTCAGAAATTAATTGTCGAGTGATTTTAGGTCACCTGTGTCACTGAGATAAACTGTTGTTACCTATTCCCTAGAAGTGTGCACTATTTTTGATTTATTGCAATAGGAGTTTTCATAATGATATTTGTTATATTCAGTAAAGAAAAGTCTTTATGAACCCTATATGTATATAAATAGTCAACATAATTGATATTAGCTCCTCCTAAAAATGTTGACAATCATTTTATTTTTACTATTGAATTGAACAAATACTTTTCCCAAAATATTATTGATTTTGATTCTGGTTAGTAATAAACAATTATTGACTGGGATTTGGAGCAATATTTCATCCCTTGGATGACGCTCCACATTGGGCAATATTTCATCCCTTGGATGCGCTCTGCGTCGGGCATTATTTCATAGCTTGGGGGCTAACATAATCAGTGTTGCCCGAAAACACAGTCAATAATTGTTTTGTTATATGAAAAACAAAACAAATCAATAAAATATTATTTTGATTTATTAAAATTTAGCAACTCATTTGTATCCAGTGCATTATCCTGCACATTGATTATAGTGTTAGTGAATCTTTAAGTTGCCATGATTGTGTTACTTGTTCTTTTTTATTGTGATATTATGTTTTTTTGAAGTTGTGACAGTATCATTATGTCACAATAAAATCAGTCTTCTAAACAGAATCAATAATATTGTGGGAAAACTCTGTTTGTTGGTCAATAGTAAAAATTAAATGACTATCAATAATATTTGGAGAAGCTAATATCAGTTATGTTGACTGTTTCTCTAAATAGAGAATATAGAGACTATTCTTTACTGAATATAACAAACTAATGTATTTGACATAATGATACAATCGCAACTTCCAAAAAAAAAACATAATGTCACAATATAAAAAAGAGATTGTAGACATCCTTATATCATCAACTTATTTGTCAGTACTCTGTCTTATTTTATAAAATGATTGTACAAAGATCATGCTCTTTCCTATCAAATCAACTGGGAGACATATGCTTCATATGCAGGTGATTATGGTATAAAGGTGTACAAATTAGGGAAGTTGACGCAAGAAAAGTTGAAGTCGTCATGTTTATCATAAACTTTAGTTGTTAGTTTGCCATCAACGTCTTTCTATTTCTAGTTCATTGGGATATATTGAATCACATAGATGAAAATAAATATAATTGTTAATTGATAAAATGTCATCAATATATGCAAATATCAAATTGAAGGTCTTAGCAAGAGACTTCTTTAAGATGTTTTTAATAATTTTGCTTCACAAATAGTGGTCTCCCAATAAGGGGGCACAATTATAACCTATTGGAATTCCAATAGTTTGTTGGAAAACCTGGTCTCCAAAGACTGCATAGATATTGTTAATAAGAAACTCAATACTGAATCCTTTTAATATCAAGTTCAAAGTACCTGTGCGTAGAATCATAAGGATTTTTAACAAAAATTTGATGATCAGATGATCAGTGAAAAGATAGGGGAATTTGTGAGTTCCATTTTAGATCACCTGAGTCACTCAGGTGACCTATTGCTATCTTTTTACGTCCGTCGTCGAACGGGTGTGTGTCGTGCGTAAACTTTTCACAATTTCATCTTCTTCTCAAGAACCACTGGGCCAATTTCAACCAAACTTGCCACAAAGTATCCTTGGGTGAAGGTGATTCAAATTTGTTCAAATGAAGGGCCACGCCTCCTTCCAAGGGGAGATAATTAAGAATTGGTGAAAAATTAATGGCATCATTTAAAAATCTTCTGCTCAAGAACCACTGGACCAGGTAATATGAAACTTATATGGAAACATCTTCAGGTAGTGTTGACTCAAGTTTGTTAAAGTCATAACCCCAAGGGGTAGGGTGGGGCCACAATGGACGATCAAAATTTTACGTAGGAATACATAGGAAAAACCTTTAAAAATCTTCTTCTCCAGAACCACTGGGCCAGAAAAGCTGAAACTTATTTGGAAGCATCCTGGGGAAGTGTAGATTCGAAATTGTTCAATCATGACCCCCGGGGGTAGGGTGGGGCCACAATGGACAAAAGTTTTACATTGGAATACATAGGAAAAATCTTGAAAAAATTCTTTTCTCAAGAACAGCAAAGCCATGATTGGTTATATTTACATGGAAGCATCCTCAGATAGTATAGATTTAAGTTTGTTCAAATCTTGACTCTGGGGGAGGGTGGGGCCACAATGGATGATCAAAGATTTACATAAATACATAGGAAAAATCTTTAACAATCTTCTTCTCAAGAGTAGCAAAAACATGATTTGTTTTATTTCTATGGAAGCATCCTTGGGTAATTTTAATTCAAATTTTTCAAATCATGACCCCCTAGGGTAGAGAGGGGACACAACAGTTGATCAAAGTTTTAGTTAGGAATATATAGGAAAGATCATTTAAAAATCTTCTCAAGAACAAAGCCGTGATTAGTCATTTCAATACAGAAGCATCTTCAGGTACTGTAGATCACTAAATTTTCGCGACACCTTATTTTCATAAGATAGTCATTGGCTCTTTATTAGCGAGACAGAATATTCACGAATTGTGGTTATTGCTGTATATAATCTTTATGAATACTGTTATACACGAGAATGAAATTTTCCTCTTCAGTTTATTTTATACTCTATGGATCCTCAATGGATTGTTGTTTTATACTCAGGTGACCGTTAAAGCCCTAGGGCCTCTTGTCATTAAAGTTGTTGTCTATGATGTCAAAAACCTGGTCTTTAATTTACCGGGAGGAATGGTTATGTAAGTGTTAAAAAGTCGTACGTTTTGATGCTATTTGAATAACACCACTTCACATCAACATGTACGACTTTTCTTAATACCAATATAAGCATTTCTCAAGATAAAAAGAACTAAGCTTTTTGATATCATAGACAACTGCTTATTTAATAAAAATGCAATTTGGAAGTTTTTGTATCTTGTGATGGTCATCAACAAAATTACTTTGTTAAAAACCACTCTTATACTACACAATAATACTCTGATATAAAAAGGATGCTGGAGTTCCTTATTGACAACATTTATGTAGTCTTCAGAGACCAGGTCTTCTTCGAATGTTGGAACTTCGATGGAAACTAATTGTGCTCCTTTATTAGCCGATTTTTTTTTATATTCCTATGGAGTATTTATTCAAAAACTTCAACATGCGAAGAGGAAAACACTTGCTGTGGCCTTCAACTCGACATTCAGATATATCAGCGACATTCTATCAATTAAAATAGTTACTTCAATTCATAATTAAGTAACCCATTGATATATCCCAGTGAACTTATGATAAAAGACACCACAGAGTGTGCCACGTCTGTTTAATATTTGGATGTTTTACTAAGTACACATGAGAAGGGCTAACTGACAAATAAATTGTATGACAAAGGAGGTGACTTCAGCTTTTCATTGCCACCTTGCGTTATTTATGTAGTACTATTCTGCTTTCACTTGCATATGGCGTTTATATGGTACCGTAATATTCCAACATCTCCTGCATATAATATTTCCCCCAACTGATTCGATACACAAGAGCATGCTCTGCGTACGATCGATATTTAATCAAAGGCAGGCTTCTGACATATAAGTTGATGTTACGGGGATTTCTGTAACCTCGTTTAAAATTAGCATTTCGTAAATTATATGGTTGTTATAATGACCTTGTTAACAAATATACCCTATCATTGAGTCTTATGTTGGCTGACTTGTTTCAAATGTTTAGGGGTTTTTATTCTAAATTTGACTTCTTTACAGAATGTCCAGTCTACCTAATCAATACATAGATAGATTGATTGATTGATTGTATGTTGTTTTACGTCCCATTCGAAATTTTTTCACTCTTATAGAGACGTCACCATATACCGGTGAAGGGCTTCAAATTTTGACCTTTACTCGGCATTCAGGGCCATTGAGCAGTGAGGGATCTTTATCGTCCAACGTCTGTCGTGACACGGGGCTTCGGTTTTTAAGGTCTCATCTAAAGGACCCGCAACTTTCACTTCAAAGTGTCGAGCTCATGGCGAAGGAACAGTTGCTACCCAATTATTTTTTTTATCGACTTAGGTCAGTCGCGGCCGAGATTCGAACTCATGACTTCCCGATCACGAAGCGAGCGCTCTACCGACTGAGCTACCGTGAACGGTCAACAGGGGATGCTTACATCTCCTGGGCAACTGATCCCATCTCTGGGTTCATGTTTTATGCCCTGTTCACAGTTTTGTATTGTTTGTAGATTTTTTTGACCGATCGTTGTTTCTTATCTTCACCTTTTTCACATGTTGTTTTATAGTACTGCTGAAGTTTCTCCTTCACTGCTGTTAATTTTTTCATGAGGAGTAAAGAATAATGCTTGGAAACTTGCTCGATTCCGCTGTGTATCGTATCTTTGTCTGTAAGGATTTTTATGAAGTTTTGGAATCCAATATAGATATGGTAATCCAAAATCAATGTGGTTGTTGGGAATATACGGACATGTGAATTAAGAGTCTCTTCCTGAGAAAAGGAACTATGGGTATAAGTTGGATTACCACTTGTAGAATTAAATTCAAGATCCCTAAAATGCAGTTGTGATATTGAGTCCGACAAACAAAAATGAATTATATAATACCTGCTTTGTCAGCTGGGACCAGTACATAATGTTCATGTAATCTGGCTAATTCTTTAGTTACATCTGAATTATAGAATACAGAAGGATATATGATTGTTATTGCTTTTCAATCATTTAACACGAGATTTTCAAAATCCATCTTGTACTTTTTATCCATTCTGACAAAATTCTAAGGTTTTCATATTTGAGCCATCGTCTTGCATAATCTTGGACAGAATTCAATTCTTGATATTTATAAAATTCTGTCGCCAATTAAAAGATCTGAGTTCTCTAAATTTAGGCCTTGTAAAATGAGTGGTTTGAGGTCTAAAAAAATTTTTCCAGTCCTAAATCACAGCTGATTTAATATGTTATTTTCTTACAATGTTTCAAACATGCCTTTAATTCGATAAACAATTATGTAATAAGCAATTGTTCTTTCCTTTCTCAGATTGTTATGTTTGGTGGGAAAGTCGATTCAGGGTTCACTGATAATTAAAAAAAATCCTGTTGGACTTTATCAAAACACTTGTTTTTTCCGTATATAAGGAGAAATTTAGATTTGTTTATTTACATGGTACTTGCATGTTCACGTAAATTTCTGAAGTGATTAATTGTAATTCAGATAATTTCGTACTATATGTTCAATTAGTTTTTCTTCAAATTAAATTGAGGAATAAGAGAGAAAGACCAAAGTTCAATTACATATTATTTAATCCAACAGGCTAAGTATTTGTTATAATGCAATCAAAAAGAAATTATGTATCAATTTGACGATGCAATATATATATATTTTTTTGTAGGTGAGGTAATGTCGTTGTTTTTGTTTGTTTGTGTTTTTTTTTTAGTCGAATGTTTTCCTTCCTCATTTTCGTAGACTGGTTCTTTATCTGTGGACTAGTATGTGAGTTATGAGTTTCGCCATCATTCAGAATGTCTTTGTTATTATAATATTAATGACATATCATACATGCATTTATTTGACATATTATTTTACAGTAAATATTCTACTTAGCTTCGTTGCCAAAATATGAATAATAATGTAGTTGACAATATCAAAGACCAGTGTGTTTGAAATCATAGACAACTACTTCTTCAAAATAAAAAGAAACTGAAACAGAAAGCTCTTGAGTAATATCAGTCCTCGCGCTTTCGACCCTCTGGCTGATAGCTAGTGCCTCGGTCTGATACAGGATGTGAAATGGAAAAGGGTTTGTATTATTTTTATATATATTATTACCAAATTGATACATGATAACCTAAGTATTAATATATGTTTACATGGGCATCTTAAAGATGCCCCCAAATCACACAAACACAATTCGATATTTTTTTTTCATATTACTAGTATTCAATATTGAACTTCTATTACTACTCTAGCCTTCAACTACCAAGTAATTAATTATCAATACGAATCACTATCCACTCTCTATAATAATACTATAGATAGTCTATTGACATTCAGCATCACTGATTCAAGTACTAGAGACTAAGTGGTCAAAAAGCAATGTCAAGGATGTAAATAAACATTTGTTAACGCCTATCATTGGTTTTGCCCTAATATTCTTTATATTTTTCCTGTGAGACCTTTGCATCTCTGTAGAAAATATGAGAGTGATGTTAAGTTAAAAATGTTAAGTGTTACTGTTTAAATTGGGCCATCTTTAAAAGAATGTTTGCTTGCCCTTGCCCGGCTCAGGATATAAAAAATGGGTAGGTAGGTAGGTAGGGGATTTTTTTCTTTCAAAAAACATGCGAATATGAAGCTGAAAAGTTATTAATGGGATGAAAATGGAGGTTAAAAAAAGTTTTGAGTCGGACCACTTTTAGTCAGTCGGTCGGGAGAGGGCAAACAAAAATTTAAAAAAAAAATGGCCTACCTTTTAATTTTTAAAATTCAAATTTGATATTTTACCTTTTTAACCTTGATTCTATGGGCGTCTTCTACTGGTCATCATCAATGTCAATGGTAATTAGGAAATTTAAATGCTTAAGTGAAATTCATTTAAAATGATTGTAGACGACTGTCATATATTTGGACTGGACCTTTGCCCTCCTATTCAATAGACATTTTACTCTGGCTCTACAAACATTTGTGTAGGAAGCAAGAATCATTCTGGGCGCAATTTCGATGTTCTTTTGCATTTTTATATTGTAAAAAGAGCTTCATGTACCTCATTGGTCAGGGTGGTACCGTATTATCCATGTCAGTCTCATGATCAGTTACGATTTGACTTTGCACCAGCTGTGCTGTAACGTATATATGTATCCAAAAAATATCTCAAAACATTTTATACCGTGTTCAAACATATAATACAGATAAAATGGGTTACAGTTGAAGTAACCTGAAGTATAATAAACATGCACATTAACATGGAACATGAATTTATTAAAGCAGGTTTACCGAAATAGTTATTTTTTTTAAATAGTCTACATATTTAATGATACACGTGTAAATCTGTCTGGTTTGATATATCAGTAACACCACTGTAGCTGTAGGAAACATAGAACAGATTTGGAAAGTCATAGTATATTTATATGATATGCAGTTTGCTATACATGTTTGTAGCCTGATATGAATTTACATTCTTCATAACCCGCTCATTTATGGTGGTAAATTAAGTGTCAGAAAACTATCAAAACTGAATGAAATTAAGTTCATAAATGATTTCCAGTGTACACAAATATATCCTTTCCTCGTAGACAATACAGAAAAGAGGACATTGTACAAAATTAGATTTAAAGACATTTCCTGGCAACATATATTTTCCTTCATTACTTCATTCAATGATCTTTTTATATCTTTATGCAGCAGAGCATATTGCTGAAACGGAAAAAAATCTAATTCCATTCTCTTTCCATGTCTTTACCTAATATATTCTCGACAAGTGATTGAAATCTTTTGTTTTTCTGATGATTTTCATGCTTAACTTTCGAAAATCATTAGAAAATGAATGCCTTTAATTGACCTCAGGTAATCTATCAAATGAGAAGTCGCTCATTCACACGTTACACAACTGATTCATTTCATATGTCTGTAAATATAATTTCGCTTGTGTTTAAACACGAAGTAGGCGTGTCTTCATCTGAAGTCACAACAATGGTCATCCTTGCTGGGAGTTGTGGTCTCTCTTCCGTTGTCTCATCAAGAGTTGTGCATGACTCATCTAATACAGTTCTGCCGAGTGTTTCATCCCGAGGTTCTGTGTGGTTCGAACCATCATCGATTTCCATGTAAACTGACGCTATGTCGTTAGCTATATTTACTGTCTGTTTTCTACATATTGACATCAACATCCATATTATTGTACACATTACTATTATTGATATCACAATGCTCCCAATATATTTTATTAGTGTTTTCAGCTTTGTCGTTGTTTTTTGATTTTTACCTCTGTCATTTTTCTGCATTGTGGTCATTTCTTTTTTAATTGTTACTGAAATATTTGATAAATGTGTAGTTGAATCTGTAAATTTTTCACGAGGAAAAACACCTGGAGAAAAAGATAGGACACTGATACATGAAATACTTTACATAGATAAAACAGTAGTTTTACTATTTAACTGAAGAGACAATGTTAATGAGTTATCAACCTTTTGTTGATGCATCCATAGATGTGTTGTTAGTACATCCTATAACATGGTCACATGTGTTATTGTCACACTGACACATGTACAGACAAAGTCGACCATAGTAAGGATAGTAACACTGACGGGAACAATTGTCTCCAAAAAATCCGGGTGGGCACTCTGAAAAAAAGTGTTTATTCAACATCAATTGAAAAATGATGAGCAGTAAATTTGTATAAGGTCAAGCGATCACTATTTTAACAAACCTTTGCATTCTCCATTATATAGAAAGAAGTGTGTGCAGCAGTTTAACCTGGAATAAAATACAATAACTAGAAATCTGTGTATCCATAATCATGATTACTATTTAAAAATTGAATAACACATATAAATCAAATATTCATGTATTTCGTCTCCATATATGAGTGAAAATTACCGGAATTTAATGTAAAACAACATACAATCAATTATTTCGACATGTTTTGTCAGAAAGAATATTTACTCACTTTCCGCTTTGATCTGGATGAGTATTATTGCATTCCGCTTTCGTAAGTATTCCAATATTTAAACAAAAAAGAAAACTTTTTAACATTACATGTTCCATATCAATAATTCCATCTACAAGATTAATGATGAGCAACAACTTTGAGTATTTAACCAAATAAATCATTTTGCATTGAAATATTAGAATTATTCAAGGAAAAAACTTCCGTGTGTTAAAAGCAAATTATGAAATTAACTAATACGTAAACAACAGTTTTATGAATCATTTGGAACGAACGACGAAGACGGAAGTAATCCTCTGGACTTTGTCCCAGATCAATTTTGCCTGATAACAATATTGTAACTTTTTAAAATGATTTGATAGATGTTAAAACGTATACCACTGAATAATATAAATAAATTAACTGATTTATTGCATGGGAGCACTCAATGAATGGATGATATTAAATAAGAATAGGATTGTTAAAATATCTGACGGACTTGATAACAATCTTAACACAGAATCAGATAGAATGTTTGAATGTTTCAGATTAGTGTTGCATGGAGGAGAATGTGTCGATTGCTAGTCATTCATGTTTTGCTATTGTTTTTGGTCGATTTACCTCTGTAATAAATCAATCTTTTTAGTATAAGAACAAAACTTTATGAAAAACGTGATGATTTTTCAATCGTCAACTTCCTTACTTATGCAGCAATATACCCTTATCACCTGCATATGGGGTGTATGAAATATGTATATCTCTCAGTTGATTCGATACGCAAGAGCATGCTGTTCGTGTGAACAATTTCTAAAACGAGGTAAGTTATTGACAAACAAGTTGATGAAACAAGAAAATCTCGTTTAAAGTCATCATTTCGTAAGTTCTATGGTTGATACAATGACCTAGCTTGTCAGCAAATATACAATCTATCATTAAGTCATATGCTGAATAACGTACTATTTGTTAGGTAATTATTTACACACTGAATTGTCGACAGATTTTCCCTTATTTACTGATCATGACAAGGAGCACACGGCGGGTGTGACCGACCGGCAGTGGATGCTCACTCCTCCCTGGAACCTGATCCTACCTCTGATGTTTTTGGAGGCCCGTATTTGCTCTGCTCCCGATTTGTATGTTTTAATGGACGTTGGTCTGGAATACTGTTCGTTATCTCCATATTTCATTATGCCCCCTTATCGAAGATTCGGGGGTATATAGTTTTTGCCCTGTCCGTCCGTCTGTTTGTCTGTTTGTCCGCAAAAACTTTAACCTTGCCCATTACTTTTGATTGGTTGGAGCCATGACTTTCATAGTTCACATGTGTATTCCTTGTGACAAGACCTTTCTTTGGGTACCATCATATTTGATCTTGACCTTGGAGTTTGACCACTTTTGCAAAATTTTATGAGACTTTAACTTTGGTCATAACTTTTGAACAGTTGGTTCTTGGGGTTTCAAACTTCACACGTTTATTTCTTATGACAGGACCTTCCTTTGGATACCAACCACTTTGACCCTTTGACCTTGACCTACTTTTGGAAAACTTTTACCATGACCATAACTCTTGAATGGTTAATGCTAGGCTTTCATACTTCACCTATGTTATCCTTGTGACAAGACCTTCCTTTGGATACCAACCACCTTGACCCTTTGACCTTGACATAGGAGTTTGACCTACTTTCGAAAAACTTCAATCTTGGCCATAACATTTGAATGGTTGGTGTTAGGGCTTTCATACTTCACATATGTAATCCTTGTGACAATACCTTCCTTTGGATACCAAGAACTTTGACCTTGACCTTGACGTTTTACTTACTTTCAAAAAACTTTAACCTTCGCCATAACTTTTGAACAGTTGGAGCTAGAGCTTTCAAATTTCACAGTATATTCCTGACAAGTCCTTTCTTTGGGTACCAAAATTTTTTATCTTTTGGCCTGGATTTTGACTTGCATTTGAGAAACTTTAACCTTCGCCATAAGCTGCCATACGGGGTATCAGTGTTTCACAAACACATCTTGTTTATTATTGTTGTTGCGTGGGATAAAATTATAAATGAATGAATAAATCATTAGAGTATAATTCATATTAACATACCTTCAAATCTAAGCGTATGTAGTCACGTTGAAAGTTCATCTGTCTCACTCAATGAGGGTATGGCACGTAAGATATCTCACCTTGTTGCAAAGTTGTATTTGGTATTCACAATACAATAATCGCTACAAAATCTATGCTTTCAAGGTAGATTTTTGTGTGTGTTTAATCCATATATTTGTGATACTCTGAATATCAAAATTGTTTCATCTCCACAAAACGTAGGTAAAAAAAATCATATCATAAACAAACAAACTGGCGAATAAATAAACAGTCAACTAATGAACCATAGACATTCCAAAGAAAAACAAACGATAAAAAATGTATGAAAAAGGAGATGGATTATGCATATATATTTTTTTCTTCAAAATATAGAGGCAGATGAGGATGAATCGAACATTCATCGATTGACTTCTTGCTTGGCTTTGTGACTGCAAATTTTTGTTCGTTTTGAAATCGTAAACAACCAAACGCTAGCCGTGTAAAAATATCTAACGGAAAATAAATGGGTTTGTTCAATACGAACTTAATTCGAATCGGAGGTTTGAGGAATGTTTGTCATATTCAAAGTGTCCAAAAATTAGTTGAGAGCCAATACAATTTCAAATTACTAACAAAAGATACCTTAAAAAACTAAACAAATAATCTAAGTATTAAATTTATAAAAAACCAAAGTAAAGTTTTTACCATATTAAAGAAAAGTCCCTTTACTTTAAAGTTCAAATTGTTAAACATGTTCATTGTATATCATTAATCGATTGAATCAAATGAAATTTTCATTCACTTTAAAAAGAAAGAATACCGAAACATTTGAAAACTTTCAATCCTTCATATTGAATTTGAGAGATAGTAAAGTTTATAAGTATCATAGTTATTGAAAGCATATTAAGGAGGGATTCTTGTCTGGTTTCTGACTAGATGAAATATTCAAAGTATATTTGCTTATATGTTGTATATATTTAGAGGCAAGAGATTTAAAAGATCATATTTTTCTTTCCTCATCACAATTTTACAACTTTAAATAGAAATGGTAAACTGAGTTTGAAATCTATCAGGGACTATATTTTTGGCGGAATGGCGGCGTATGAAAATACTTTCTTTTCTGCCTCTCAAAATAATTATAGAACAATGAATTTAGTTATAATTTTTACACAATCAAAGACTTGGAGAAATTTTTTAAATGTAAGTTAAATTAATGATAAGGAACTAAAGTTTTAAAATATATCAAATAAATATGATTTTCCAAACAATCTACAATTATGTTAGCTTTTAAAAGCTTCCAATCTAAGTTCAGATTTGAGCCAAAAATTGGTAAAAAGTGTTTTTTTTCTCTCTTAGTAAACGGTCAAAACTTTTTGTTTTTATATAAGTTTGTATAATTATGTGACAACTTTATCATATGTGAAAATAAGAAAAATTTAAATATAGAAAGCATATAAAAATAATTAAAATATCTTAAAATTTTATGAAAAGTAGAGAAAATTCGGATTACCCAATATCCATTTTAGTTAAATTATTTATGTCAATTTGGTAATATCATCTTTTAGACCCAATATGGTAATATCTCTTTATGCAAAAAGAAAAACATTTAATTTATTGAAATGGAAGTAGGCATCGCATGATTGGCAACAGTATTTTTTTATTCTTAAGGAAGCCCTAAACACTGCACACTATAGAGTTCTATTTGTAGGGTAGTTTTAATGAGTCAAAGTGATCTGCCCTTAGAAGAAAAATAGAATAAATGGGAATCTACAGTTAATGACACAATTTCTTATGAATTGAAATATTCTTAATGAAAAAATATGATTATCCTTGTAAAATGACTTCAAATTGTACAAAATTTAAATGTAACGTCAGGCGGAACGATAGGTTTTTGACGCAAATCATTGTGACGTAGGCAACCCAATTTATACGATATAAAGTATAATTTTTTATCCAATCAAATGGCGCGTTACAATCAGAATTAAATTATTTTTAAATATAAGAAATGAGTGTTCTTATGAGAAGAATCCCTCCTTAAAGTAAGACATCAAAATACATGTGTTAATCTACAGGTACCTGTATATTATTGTACTATTCTTACTATAGTTACATTAGTAAACAATAATTAGCTGTTAGCAAATTTGTTTAGGATTTGTAAACAGGACGAAATGCCAATGATTAACGGAGTATATGTTAAATAAATTATGCATTATGGTGGTTATGTATACGCAACTTTGAATTGAGGTGTCACCTCTGTCATTTTTCTGCATTGTGATCATTTCTTTTTTAATTGTTACTGAAATACTTGATAAATGTGTAGTTGAATCTGTAAATTTTTCACGAGGAAAAACACCTGGAAAAACGATAGGACACTGATACATGAAATACTTTACATAGATAAAACAGTAGTTTTACTATTTAACTGAAGAGACATTGTTAATGAGTTATCAACCTTTTGTTGATGCATCCATAGATGTGTTGTTGGTACATCCCATAACATGGTCACATGTGTTACTGTCACACTGACACCTGTACTGACAGAGTTGACCATAGTAAGGATAGTAACACTGACGGGAACAATTTTCTCCAAAAGATCCGGGTGGGCACTCTGAAAAAAAGTCTTTATTTATTATTCATTTGAAAAATGATGAGCAGTAAATTTGTATAAGGACATGCGATCATATTTTAACAAACCTCTACATTCTCCATTATATAGAAAGAAGTGTGTGCAGCAGATTAACCTGAAGTAAGACAATATAACTATAGGCATATATAAATATAATAGTAATGAAGTTAACATATCACAGATAAATCAAAGCCATTGATACATTTCAAATCATTATGATAGTGAACGTCCACTTACTTTCCACTTTGACCAGGATGAGTGTTATTGCATTCTCCTCTTACACGTGTATCAATGCTCATACAGAGAAGAAACAGTTTAATCACAGTTAAATCCATACCCACTTATATTCTAATAATTTAAGTCAAATTGACATGAAATTTATCTTAATTTGGGAAAATAAGGAAAACTTCCCGAAAAGATGAATACATTGTATT